AAGGTAAAGAACAGAAAAGTGTGGTGAGATATGAAGGATAAAAAGATAAACTTACTTCATGCATAGCATAAATCAGTATTCACTTGCTTTCAAATTGAGGTGTAGTGCACGTGACCTTTTCAAAAAAGTATGGCCAAATTTGACTTGTGTGTACGCATATATTTTACTGCCATTACCGCAGTGTACTTCTGCATATTTTTGCACCGAAACAACATTTAATGAGAAGTAGTACAGCCCCTAACTAATCAGTGCCCTAAAACTGAGGATACACCGGAAAACAACACTATTACTACATTGACTTAAACTTTTTTGAGTTTATTCCTCTATAGAGATTAAACAAAACTAGTTCAACGACTATTTCAATGTATATTTCTCACCAAGATAACAAATATACCGAATACATAAGTTTCAAATTTTTCAACCGTTGCAATGGACATTTTTCATGTTCGTTTTGCAGCGCATCCGATTTTCGTCGGGTAACAGATCTCTTCCTAAATTCAACGTCTAAACGGTGGTTAGCACGCACTTTTCACCTTCTGATCAAGACATTCGCTAAAAGATATTTTCCACAAATGAATCGTGTCTTCTTCAATACGGAAGGTCAAAGAAACGGTCAGCAGCAAGCGAAGACTGCATTTTAAAATAAAACTCAGTTGCTGCAGAAAACGACCAAGTGGCTTATACCACAAGATCAGACTGCAGAGAACGGCACCCTACAGCAACAAAGTCTTCCTTCAACATACGACCTGTAGGAGCAAATCAACATTTAAGGCTCAAGTTTGACAACTACTTAATGGTAGCCTACGAAGCCAGGCGGATTTCTTAAATTAAATTATTTAGTTTGTAGGGCATATATCCATTGCTGTAGACATCGACGGTAAACTGGCCGACGGCTTGACTATTCGACTCACAGCCTCAATTAAGCGATCTGGCAATTTCCACATGCACACATGTGCCGAATTTTGTTCCTCTCCAGTTAAAGCAAAACCGTATTTTCTGAGACAGTTTCAAACCAGGCTGAAGCATGGCGAGGTTCTAAATTACTACCGATCAGTGTTACATTTCAAGATATTACCCTGCAGTCGTTAGTGCTGGTTTGATTCATTAAAATAAACTAAGAAATGCTTTCAAGACCTTAGGAATGAAATTAAACGATCGCTTATAATAAATTTGGAATAGCAACTAATGGTCACTATTAATTTTTCAAGCTTTTTAAAGTAACTCTGCCGTTGCCGGTCTTAACCTACAGAAGAAAGAACGAGGGTTGGAATCAGTGGCGAGATGCCCGTAAAAATCTCGTCACTCACCTCTCATGGTATTGCCGTCATCGAACATTATACCGACTCGGTTGTCGCAAAGGTTACCAAGGACGGCACAGGCTGTTGCGGAAATGAGACGGTCTGCGAAAAGTCGGAAATAAGAATCTGACAGAATCTGCTACCCGCCTTCCGGTACACGGGGGCGTAGCAGCATGACAGCGGTTACCAAAGTTCGGCAACACGATGACGGATCTGGTACCAGTTCTGAAAGCAGGATGCAGACAGCGCGATGTCATCATAGTAGACCTGATAAGGCTCCATGGGAAAGATGACAGTGGGAGACTGCACTCAGAAAATCCAACATTACCTCACAGGGAGGGAAAGAGAAGAAACTAATTCATGAGGCAACCAGATACCAGCTGGAAATATTTGGACCCTCGTCAACGAAGCGCCAAGGCCCTGGAATTCGTAATCTCTGCGGATGAAAGCTATTCTACTCAGGTCCATACATCACAGCGCGCGCACAAACCGGTATTGGTGTCATGGTCGAACCAAACCTGGCTGCCAGAATTATTTAATGGAAGCCTGCCGGCGGATCAGAGGCAATCCTCAGACTGAGGATACAAGAGGCTAAAGTTTGGACGTTGTTACAGGCTTATGCGCTAAATTTGGAAAGAGAGAGAGAGAATGAGTCCTTCCTTGAAATTTGAAAGTGTGTTCTTTATGAAATGCCAACTACGGAGTGCCTCATTCAAATGGGCGACTTCAATGCGCTAATCGGAGTAGACACCGAAAAGTGGAAAATTGTGACTGGAAAGAACGGCCCTAGCGACCTCAAAAACAACGGCATGAAATCGCTGCGGTCTCGTGCAAACAATGGACTTTCCATTATGAACACCTTCATCGACCATCGAAAGTGCATCAGTATACCTGGTATCGGGAAGCTTGTGCAAAAAAGTCGATGATCGATTTCATAATCGTATCGTCTGATTTAAGAAGCTCCATAATGGATGTTCCCGTTAAGAGAGGCGCAGAGATGACAACCGATCATCATCTTGTTGTTGGCTCGGTATAAATAAAGTACCATGCAAAGGCCTGGCGATAGAATCAACCAGAGAATCAAATGAGAGATATTGTTCTGCGCAAACGACGGCAAAACTTGAAAACAACATCGGTTGGAACAGATTCCAGTGATTACAACTGGCGTGTAAACCGAGTGGCAGCTCTATAAGAGCGGCATACTCGAGGCTGCTGCCGAATGCTGCGCATTTAAACGGGTCAGCCTGCCACATGGAAGTCAGAAAAGTGCTTCCTGGTGGACACGAGAGGTACAGCTGGCTGTCACCGAAAACAAGGTTTGTATTGAATGGTGGCTTGGAAACAAAGAGCCTTCAATTCGCAAGCAGCATGAACAAGCACGCAAGGTGGCGGCGAAAGCAGTGGCCAAAGAAAAAGCTGTTCCATGGAGAAGTTCGGTGAAATGTTGAAACGCAATTTCCAGACGGTAAACGAGGTATTCTGGCAGAGATGAAATAACGGTCTACGAATCGTAAAGCACAAGTTTTGACAATCTCTTACTGATGATGAGGACATTCTTCGGCAATGAAAAGCGTACTTTGAGGAACTTCTTAATCCCTTAGTAAAATTCCCCTAAAGAGCAGCAGGAAACTGGGATGATTATTTATGAAGATGAAATAACATAATCTGTGAAAAGCTTGAAAGTGGAAAGACTGCTGGAATCGATGAAATCCGCCATGAAATGCTCAAACCATTAGATGAACAAGGCGTGTGCTGGCTTACACGTGCTTCTGGAGCAGACACGACAGGACTGGAGAACGAGGGTTGCAGAACCCCTATTCAAGAAAGGAGACCATAGGGTGTCACAATTATCGGGGCATTACCTCACTGAGCCTTAAGGGTAAGTCTATGCAAAGGTGTTAGAAAGGAGTTACCGCGGAATAAGTGACTCCAAAATACAAGAGTAGTGTGGCTTCAAATCTGACCGAAACAGCCCTGACCAGATATTCGCCTTAGGCCAGACTGTCGATAAATCGAGAGTTCGTTCATCCGTTCATAAGCACTTTGTGAAAGAGAGAAAGCGTATAACCAGATACCATGCAAAACCTATGGGAATACCTGCAAACATATCGGATATATGGCCAATTGCTACCGGCTATCGAATCACTACATGCCGCTAGCAAGTGCTACGTTAGATTAAATGGCGTTGAGTCGAGACCTTCAGCGTTGGCACTGGTCTTCGCCAAGGCTACATTCTCTTCCCTCTCCTGTTTGTGTTGTACATAGACAGAATAAGTTGGCTTAGCCAGGGTGACGAATGTATCAGCAAAGGAAATGCGAAGACGAGGAAGTTGCTGTTTCAAACGACTTTGTTTTGTTGGCATTTTACGAAACTGATCTCCAACGGTCTCTGGAAATGTTCACACCGCTGATTATGACGTGGCCGGCATGCGGTGAACATCTCAAAAAACGAAAAGCCTAGTGCTTTCTCGTTCTTCTGCCCATTGCTCTCTTCAGATAAACAGAGAAGCTGTGGAACAGATGGGGTAGTTCAAGTACCTCGGGGTTTTGTTCAATGGTGATGGAAAGTGGAAGAGATCAATGGGCGGGTTAGAAAAGCCAGTGG